TCAAGATTGGGAAAGGCGTCCGGCAAGGCTGCATACTCTCACCCAACCTTTTTAACTTGTATGCAGAACACATCATGCGATGTGCGGGGCTTGATGAATGCAAAGCTGGGGCGAAAATTGCTGGAAGAAACATTAACAACCTCAGATATGCAGATGACACCACTCTGATGGCCGAAAGCGAGGAGGAGCTGAGGAGCCTTCTAATCAAGGTGAAAGAAGACAGTGCAAAAGCTGGATTGCAGCTAAACATAAAAAACCCCAAGATTATGGCAACAAGAATGATTGACAACTGGGAAATAGAGGGAGAAAATGCGGAGGCCGTGACAGACTTTGTATTTCTAGGCGCAAAGATTACTGCAGATGCAGACTGTGGCCAGGAACTCAGAAGACACTTACTTCTTGGGAGGAGAGCAATGTCCAGTCTCAATAAAATAGTAAAGAGTAGAGACATCAGACTGGCAACAAAGATCCGCCTAGTCAAAGCCATGGTATTCCCTGTAGTAACCTACGGATGTGAGAGCTGGACCTTAGGGAAGGCTGAGCGAAGGAAGATAGATGCTTTTGCTGTGGTGTTGGAGGAAAGTTCTGAGAGTGGCTTGGACTGCGAGAAGATCCAACCAGTCCATCCTCCAGGAAATAAAGCCCGACTGCTCACTTGGAGGGAAGGATACTAGAGACAAAGTTGAAGTACTTTGGCCACATCATGAGGAGACAAAGCCTAGAGAAGACAATTATGCTGGGGAAAGTGGAAGGCAAAAGGAAGAGGGGCCGACCAAGGGCAAGATGGATGGATGGCATCCTTGAAGTGACTGGACTGACCTTGAAGGAGCTGGGGGTGGTGATGGCCAACAGGGAGCTCTGGCGTGGGCTGGTCCATGAGGTCACGAAGAGTCGGAGATGACTGAACGAATGAACAACAACAACAATCTCTATAATATAATCAAGAGTAGAGACATCATACTGGCAATGAAGATCCACACAGTTAAAGCAATGGTATTCCCCGTAGCAGCCTATGGATGTGAAAGCTGGACCATAAGGAAGGCTGAGAGAAGGAAGATAGATGTTTTTGAACTGTGGTGCTGGAAGAAAATTCTGAGAGTGCCTTGGACCATGAGAGTTTCAAAACAGTCCATAGTCCAGGAAATAATGCCAAGCTGCTCATTGGAGGGAAAGATATTAGAGGCAAAGATGAAGTACTTTGTCCACATAATGAGAAGACAGGAAAGCTTGCAGAAGATAATGTTGCTGGGGAAAATGGAAGGAAAAAGGAAGAGGGGCCAACCAAGGGAAAAATGGATGGATGTTTTCCTTGAAGTGACGGCTTGACCTTGAAGGAGCTGGGGATGGCGATGGTCAACAGGGAGCTCTGGCATGGGATGGTCCATGGGCTTACGAAGAGTTGGAAATGACTGAATGAATAAACAATGAGAAGAGGCTGAGTGAGTCTGACTTGCCCAGGGCAGGTTCCATGACTGCAGGGGGATTAAACCTTGGTCTTCCGGAGTGCAAATCTAACACTCAAATCACTGTTGTTTAAATATTACTTTAAATTTCCTGTTCATTGACTCAGTTAGAAATAATGGATGTTGATGTAGCACATAACATTGATTTAAGAATGAAAGAAGTACAGCTTGAAAAGCAATTCTGGCATTTGCTTTCTCTGGCAAATGGCCTAAGGGAAGAGGAATTTGTGGGATGGCTAAATATGTTTATATTTTAATCTGTGCATCCTGAGCTGATCAACAGACCTCACTCTATGGAACAGGGGAAACAAAAAGTGGCCAATATGTGGTAGTGTCATTCTGAGCTGTCACGGAAATAACGTTTCAGGCAAAGAATCTGAAAAAAAATCTCCCTTGTTGTTTCTGACTGACAAAGCTATATGTCTCCTCAAAAAAGAAGTTATTAGTGAGATGGGAATCTATCCTGGATTTTGCTTCATATTTTAAAATGGCAATATGAAGTGCTGAAGTTATTTTGGGATAGGTTCAGCACTCTGGATACCTTCTTCAAACTGGAGAATAAAGCCAGAGCAGATTGAGAAGAGAGGCTGAAGTATTAGCTTCCATAACCAGAGTAAAGCCAGACAATCACAGCATTTGTAATGCTATGAGTGGGTATGGGGAAAAAAATATAAAACTAGAAATGTGTCAGATAGGGCCAGTGAGAAGTAGAAACAGGAAAAGGGAGCAAATAAGGACACAATTTTGAGAGGGAAGTTACAGGTAGAGTTAAAAGTACAGATAAAGCCAATGTAGATCACTGTGCACTCTTTGCATGGATAAGGCAGGCAGCAAATGCTAGGGCCACTGGAAAAAAACCCCATTATTGCCCACTGTGAGAGAGACCTCCTAGCCATGTCAGAAGCTTGGCTCTATTCCTGTTTTGGTTCCCCAGTTTCGGACCAGCATCTTAGCTCTTGACCTTTGGATTGCTAATCAACTACCCAGCTTCTCATTTCCCTAAATGACTACCAAGTGTCATTTTTCCATTTCAAGCTCTCTAAGCATTTTTCAGGGTCAGCAGAGAGTATTTTCCTGAACACACTGCAACAGACACTGACAGGGGCCTTTGAGGGGTTTGGGATGTCCCTTTAGGTTGTGGAAGCTCCTTCTTTGGAGGCTTTAAACAGAGGCCATCTGTTTGAGATGCTTTAATGTGATTTTCCTGCTTCTTGGAAGGGGGTTGGACTGGATGGCCCACGAGGTCTCTTTCAAGTCTATGATTCTATAATCTTTCCTTCTGGCTAAAGTAAAATTATTGGATACATCATCACTTCTCCCTGTTCCCTGAGCACATGAAAATGGCTGTGTCTGGACAAAGCTTAATTGCTTACAAGATGGATTTCACCATGGCTTTTTATTGTTGTGTGGTTGAAACTGAATTACAACATCCATGTTGATTTTAAAAAATGAGTTGTCATGGCATGAGTCCAACTTATGCCATCGTAATTCACTAGCAAGATGTCAGCCAGTTTTTGTTTTCTAAAAGAAAAGCACATATAAATAAGGTATTCTTATGGTGGAGCTCCATTATAAAGACTCCAGCTATGGTTCATGTTTTAGAACTCTGTATTTCATTCAAACCTTAAGACAGATTTGATAACAGCTCATGATAAAATGGTATCTCACAAAATACACATATGACTGAAACGCATGAACACAAAAGTCACTTGCTCTCTGGAATTTCCAGTGACACTGATAAAGTCATAGAAGAAGCTCTGGCTTCCTTTTAATAATGCATTTCTATAATGATAAAGGAATCTAGAGCATTTGTCCTTGCCATACTTTTCTGTGGATTTCTGACCAAACCAATTTGAACTAAAACTGAAGGGAAGAAATGACAGATGATGTGACAGGAAGAAGGTAGGAGCCAAGAAAATGGAAGCTGCATTCCAAAAAGGATTAAAATTGCGGGGATGACAGAACTGAAGATAGTACACACTCAGTTAGATAGAATACATCCTCCAGAGATGGGAATTTAATGGCCTAATCCTCTATCTTTTAGGCATCACTTTTGAAATACGTTATTTCCTAGACTTCTTTGCAGGTTGTAATACTTTTGATCTGTTGCCTACTTTCAGAACACAAGCACATAGCAAGCTCCATTTTATTGAGTCAGGCCATGGATCCATCTGTCTTGTATTGGGCATCTCTATAGCAGCAGCAATACAGGGTTTCAGGCTAGATACTTTTCTAGTCCTATGTGGACATCTTTGGTATTCCCTGGCAGTCTGTCAATCAAGTACACACCACACCTAATCCCAAGATCAGAAGTTGATGGAAGTACTGGTGGTATGGTGATAGTTTTCCTGTTGTATTTGTTAGTTGGGTGCTACATAAAGTAGGCAATGGAATGTACGTTAGCAATGACGAACATGTTATATTGATCTGGACGAGTAATTTCCAAGCATAACTAAATTGGGTTCAACTCCATTGTCTTCAGTGTATGCTTTTTATTATTTGTACAGATTATATTTTATGTTTGTTTATTTTGACCTCTAGGATGTCTTGGACACCTGACAGTGAAATAAGATGTCACAAATCTACAAGCAACAAGAATTTAGCATATTTTAATGCTAAGTCTCATGTCAGAGCATACAGTATGAAATTCATATTTTTGATACACCATGTGACCAAGACATTCTATCATGCCTAGATACATACCCACCATAAAGGAAGGGAAGGAAGGAAGGATGGATGGGTAAGAGCCCTGGACTTTGGAAAATACATTTTTGATTTGCCCAGGCCAATGCTAAATGCCTGGGGATCTCTCCTTAGACTGCCTATTAGTAGTTACAATGCATGTTGTACTGGAGCCACAGCTCTGAGGATCAAAGTCCTGGAACTTGTTAATTAGTAGGTAACATGGCATTAATTGTAATGCACTTGGACTCCCTTGTACTCTCTGCATTTATCTGCAACCTGTGCTGTAACCAAAAAGGAAATGGATTGTCCTTGTTGGAATCTAAAGCATTTTGATGTGGCTTCTTCATGAGTGGCCAAAAAAAGGGGGGGGGGGGGGAAGCCTGGCAAAAAACCTGCCCATGACTGGAAAAGAAAATGGCGTTTCTACATAAGTGACCACAACAACTTGTCTTTTTGTATTTCCTCTTGGGGTATCACTACTGAGTCATAATTAGAACCCGCACTTCAATTTACCACTCTGACACTGGTCCCAAGTGACATAATTGGTTACTGAATAGGAACTCAATGCTAATGCAAATGCCACTGACTCAACTGATAATTCTCTAAATTGCAATTAGCACTAGAATCCATACCAATATTCCTACTTTACCAAAAATTAATGACCAAGGCAGCTTGCTTTCTATTTCAGTTTTAAATATCTGGCAAAGGCAAGAAAGTACATTGGCTGTGTTAAAGGATCAAGTGACCTCTAATATTTGGAAATTAACAACTAATTAGCTGGTTTAAGGTGTACCTTGCTATAAAATAAAGGCGTGAGAGGTGATTATTGCATTACTAGAAAGGTGTACTTACCGTTCATTGTTCAGAGCCATTCTTGGTGGATCCAGGTTGGGGTTTTCCATGGACTCCATTTGAGGACAGCGTAAAAAGTAATAGAGGGTGTGAAGCGCATCAGGGGACCATGTGATGGGCTGCTGCTGCTGCCTGGTTTGTCGAACAGGACTCATGCCAGGACGCAACGTGTTCAAACACTGCATGTGATGCATTGCTCGAGAGACCAGATCACCTGGAAAAGGAGACAGAAAAGATGTAAAAACCCCTTCACGTTTTCAAAAAACATTTTGAACTATTCCATACATTCTGATTAATGACTTTCATCAATGGCTAGGAATAGTTCAAAGTATTTGTCCTTATGGCAACTAAAAGTGCCCCCTCCATATAATGAAACATACCTGGCACTGAATGTCAGCAAAATGATTTGGGTACAAGGGGATGAAAATCTTCAAGCATATTTTGTTGACCCAGAAGCAAAAATAAACAAGATAATTAACAATGCTGCTATCTGAGATGGTGTTGTATGTCAGCCTGTTCAGCCTGTGATTGTGTCTGATGCTCATTATGGGAATGATGTTCATGATGACGTGCATAATGGGAATGGGGATGATGTTTCTGATGATGGGCCTGAGGATGTGGGTTTGCCCAGAGCAAAGTTAAGTTCAGAAGAAAGGCCTGGTCAAGGCCACATTCCTGGGAAAGACCTTTCACCACTTTTTCAGAGCAGATGAGATTGCTTTGCCAGGTACAGAAGGACATGATAGTGAAACCTTGGACAGAAAACAAAGTTTTAGTAAACAGAGGCAAAACTTTCAGAATCTCAGGTGTTCTGCTCGTTTACAACAAAAGAAAGCAAATCGTTATCTAGTGGTTCAGTGAGAAAAAAATGCTTTCCTGTCAGTTTCGGCCTTTGGAAAGGGTTTATAATGATGCATGGGAGACTAGTGTCTCAGTTGAGTCAACGTCATTAATTCATGCTGGTTTCGTTTTCAAATGCTTTATGTTTCATGAATCAAGTTGTACCCAAGTCTAAGTTTTTGCCTGAGAATTCCTGCTGTTTTGTTCCAAGCAAAGTACCTTGCTCCATGGATTTCTATGTAATAATGGATCTGATTTACTTTTAAAGTTTATGGATTATCTTGGATTTTGGACTTTTATTGTTTTATTTTTTTACTGCTTTGCCTACATATATTCTACATATATTCTGCTGATTTTACCAAGCTGGTGTGGTGTTTCAAGTCAGAGGTGTTCCTGCTCTGGAGTTTGATGGGTGGCCCACTTATTCCACCTAACTCTAGGGCTGGCCTTGTCAATGGTCACTAACATTCTTAGGTAGAGCCAGGGCCGTAGCCAGAAAAAAATTTCAGGAGGGGTTTAATTTTTTGGGGGGGGGGCTTTGAAAATTTCACGGGGAGTGGGTGGGTTGAAACCTGCCTCTTAGCTCACACTGAAGAAAAGAGCACAGCAGGGGGCAGAGCAGCCTTCAGCCTGCAGCTCCGCCCCTGTCAACCATCTCCACCAAGTCTGGCCTCCTTAATGAGAGCATTCAACACACACACACCCAACTTGGTTGCTTCGCTACATCGGCTATTGCTGCAAGTAATGACAATGTGAATAAATTGTCAATATTTGCTTGAGATAGTGCTTGCAGTTCCGGAGGGACTCTTAATTTTTTGCATCTCATAGACTTAGCATGGGGATTTGGTTAACCAGTTAAAATTCATGAGTAAACCAGTTTTTTTAAAAAAATCTGAAACATTTCGGGGGGGGGGGTTGAACCCCTAACCCCCCCCCCCCTCGCTACAGGCCTGGGTAGAGCTAACCATTCACAATATTACATTAGAAAATTCAAATTGTGAATCACTTTTAACAATGCTGTCTAACTACAACAGGTTTGAGGGTTGAGTGACCCTCTGCCCTGAATATCATAATTTAAAAATCATCTAGGCTTTTAAAGTAAAAAACAAAACACTGGCCATAAAATGTCAGTGGTTCTGTAATTTTGGTCATCAAGTTCCCTGCCAAATGCTTGTTTTAGCTGCCTGAATAGGAATGCACAGAAACATTATTTTCTATGCAGAAATGTATTACCTCATATATAAAAAAAGTTTCTTATGCAGAAAATGCTGTATGCAGCTATGTGCAAAAAAAACAACAAAAAAACCAACAAAAAAACAACAACAACATGTGTGATTTTTGCACATATCAAGTCTAAAAATGTACAAAAAGTGAACAGTTCTCAATGACTTTCTCATATGGGAAAGATTGCTAGAATTATTCATCACTTCCTTTGAAAACAAATTTAGTAAAGAACTGCATCTCTCCCAAACTTGCAGGCCTGCCCATCTTTTACTTGGTAACTTATAATATCGAAGGTCAAAGTTGGGTTTCTCCCACACCAGTGGCATGAGTAAGTACTATATATTTGTGTATAAATAAGCTATAGGCTCCTTCTCCCACTCTAGAAATCCACTATTTTTTGAGAATGTAAGATTCACAGGAAAAAGCCCTCCATTGTTCATGTACAATTACAATTCTGGGAAAGGTTGGAATGGAAATAGCAAGGAGCACTTCAAAGCTGATTCTTTAAAGGCCACATAAGGGTGAATATTTCTTTCCACCAACTGTAGTGAGTAAACCAAAGCTGCAGTAGTGGGATATACAGGGTTTTGGTGGGATCTTCTACTAAGGATGTAAACTGCATTGAACTCTGTTATTTTCTTCTGAGTAAACATACCTAGGACTCTAAAATGCAGCACAATAGATGTTTACTTGGGAGTAAGCCTGACTGAGGATGGTGGGGATTGCATTCTAAGTGCATAGGATTGAGGTTTATGGTATTTGCTCAGGGTGTGGTTGGGTATTACACAGGTTTGAAAAAAGCATGACTACTGTTGCCAAAGTATTACCGTTTTATGTGTGCACTAACATCCTATTACGCTTCTATTAGTGCTGCTCTATAGCACTGCCCAATTATCCAAGATGTCCATCTGGAATTCAAATTTTCAGTGCAGAATAATATACACACCCCTAATTCTGTGTTCCGTTTCTTACTATGCTGGCAACTTATGGCTGCAGTGAAGGAAAAAAAAAACCAGTAGTAAGCCTCTATATAAGGAGATCCATTCATTAAGCGTAGTCACTGAGCCAGCCAACTCAGAGAGCAGGGAAAGGAAGTTGCATTCAATCATGACCTTGTGCTACAAGCACTCGCTTGTGCCGGAGAATATATAGAGGCATGCTAAACCTCAATTTGAGGCAGGTCACAAAATAAATGCTAAAACTTATAAGGTATGTGCTTGACAGTAATATTTAGATGGTGGTATGCTTAAAGAGAAATGCCATGGAGAATGTTTTTTAGGGAGGAAAAAAAAAACAGTCCATAACTTAAAGAGACATTGTTGGGCAGTAAAGGTTTCAAATGTAGCTTCTGTTACAAAAATATGAACAGGCTTTTCAACTTTTGTTTATAATTGTGTGATTTACTTGTACCACTCCATAAACTAGAAAGTACTGATAATACAGAAAGCGTTTTTTTTCTCTCCTTTTCTTTTTATACTGGAAGGTGAAATAGCTTGGTAAACTAGAAAGCTGTTTACTTGGTATTTCGGGATTACTATAAACATGTTTATAAGTTGCAAACATGATTAAAAATCCACCCCCTAAAACCTGATTAAATTTATACATGGGATAATCTTTGAATAGAGAGTTGCAAGAGTGAGGGCCCTTCCACACAGCTGAATAAAAACCCACATTGTCTGTTTTGAACTGGCAGCGTGGACTCAGATAACCCAGTTCAAAGCAGATATTATGGGGTTTTCTGCCTTGATATTCTGGGTTATAGGAAGGGCCCTGAGAGATAGGAAGTGCTCCTACCCCAACCTCTGATATCCACTTTGTTGGGGACTGGAGTGTATACTGGCTGTTTCCAATCTGTGAGTCATTGTTTTGTTTTCCATATTTATTGACATATTTTGGATAGAACTAGTGGAGTTTGAAGCAGTTCTGTTAACATGCCGTCTATTTTTGGTGATTTATTTATCTCAAGTGCTCTGAATACAGCATACATTTCACTTTCTTTCTTTTTTTTTTAAAAAAAGATTTTATTTATAAATTTGTCCAACAAAATGTATAAGCATACATTCTCTCTTTTTACAGTACCTTAGACAAAAGAGTATGCCATATTATATACAATCTAACAGTAAATAAACATCAAAAACATCCTTAATTATATTTCTTATCATTATTTTTAAATTTCCATTACAACTTATGCTATATATAACTCTATCACACACCTTTTATCCACTTATACATATTGTATTTCTTTTTAATTATTATTATACCATTTTCCCCCTCTTCCCCTTACCCTTAGTTTGTCCCCCCTTCACCAGGACCAACCAACTCATGTTGTTTCACCATTCCAAAATATCATTGTTTCTGTTGCTGGCTTATACCCCTTTCCCTCATTAAACACACACTCAATAAATTTTCCTCATATTTTCCAAAAGTCTGTTTGTTTACATATTCCCCTTTTAATTTTAATATTGCAAGTTAGCTTATCATTAATGGCTATATTCCAAATTTCCCTATACCATTCTTCTAATTGAATTTCTTTTTTTTTCTTTCCAGTTTTTTGCTATTAACAATTTAGCTGCTGTTATCAAATTAGAAACCATTTCTTTCTCCTCTTGTAAGGGTATTATATTATCATGTATAAGTAATAATGCTAATTATGGTGTAATCTCAGTCTCTATTTTTTATTATTGCTCTTATTTCTTTGAATATGTTTTCCCAAAAATTTTGTACAATATTACATGACCACCACATATGAAAGTACGTCCCTATTTCCTGACAACCTCTCCAGCACTGATTTGAGTATTTTTTTATCAATCTGATTTAATCTAATGGGAGTTAGATACCACCTCCATATCATTTTGTAGTAATTTTCTTTAAGAAAACATTTCACTTTCTAACACAGAAGGTTCATCTTCTAAGTCAGGCATGGACAAACTTTGGCCTTTTGAGTGTTTTGGACTTCAACTCCCATAATTCCTAACAGCTGGTAGGCCGAAGTTTGCCCATGCCTGTTCTAAATGGTTCCTCCTTGAATAAATCCATCATCTTTTCATCTCTTTTATACAATTCTTCCATATATTTTCATCATCTTTTTATTTCTACATGGCTACATAATGTATTTTGCTACTGGTCATATAGCATCCCTACTCTTGGTGCAAATTTTTCTTTTCAGATGAAGATATCTTCAGAAAAGCTCAACTATTATCTATTTCTTATAATTGTTCTCTTTGCATACAGGTCACTGAACTATTGCATTGCGGGCTCTGACTATTTCTGTCTCCTTTTACTTTTGCTTCTCATTTATCCTTAACTGCTTGAAGAGTTTCATTTGACAGCTACTGATGTTCCTCTTTTTTTGGTTGCAGATAGTGTCTTTTTGCATTCCTTCATGGCAATGTCCCTGATACCAGTTCAGAATTGTTCTGGCTTGCTGGCTGCTAGCCAGTTAGATATAATAGTGAAAATCTAGTTTTTAATTTATTTTTACATTATATAGGGATATTCTTCATGTTGTATTTTGGCATGATCATTCTTCTTTAGCTTTACTCTGATTTTAATATTAACAGTTCATGATCTGTGCCACAATTTTCTCCCAGTCTTGCTGTTGCAGAGAGAATGGAGTTTCTCCATCTTCTGCTTCTGGTAGTACACTCCATTTCTATATTTGCCATTAGATGATATCTATGTACACAACTGCCTCTTTGATTAAAGAATGTGTTTACAATGGCCTCACAAAATTTAATCAGTTGCTTTCCTTCTTCATTTCTTGATCCTAAACCAAATCTCCCTGCAATCCTTGATTCTGCTCTGTGTCCTGCTTTCGCATTCGAATCGCATATGATCAACAAGTCCTGTCTTGTTGTGAGATCACTAGCTTCCACTAATTATGTTTGCAATTTCATGTTCCTATAATATGTGCTGTGTGGCAGCTGAATGTCCTTTTGGCTTGAGTTGAGTTGTATAATTAACCAAAGTGCTATTTGTACTTGTCCTCTGCTTTTCCCCAGTAGCTCATTGAGTGTCATCAGACATGCGAGTATAATATTTTCATTTCATTTTGAATTGTATCACCACAGGATTTTCATGGTAAAAGAACCCAAAAAGGGTTTATTGTGCTTTCTTCTGAGCAGTACTAATTAGCATTAGCTATGGTGTCACTGTCGTTGCCTCTGAGAGAGCCTTTACCAGTGTTACCACTCCACAACTGCTGTTGCCTCCTAGCTGCTTAGCACAGTTGGTCTGGCTCCTTTGAAAAGTGGTTCTCAACCTTCATAATGCCACAACCCTTGATACAATTCCTCATGTTGGGTTGATTCCCAACCATAAAATTATTTTCGTTCCTGCTTCATAACTGTAATTTTGCTACTGTTATGAATCATAACGCAAATATCTGATACACAGGATGTATTTGCGTTCACTGGACCAAATTTGGCACAAATATCCGATATGCCCAAACTTGAATAATGGTGGGGTGGAAGGGGGCTGATTTTGTCATTTGGGAGTTGTAGTTGATGGGATTTATAGTTCACCTACAATCAAAGAGCATTCTGAAATCCACCAATGATGGAATTGAACCAAACTTGGCACACAGAACTCCCATGACCAAGAGAAAAAAGTGAAAGGGTTTGAAAGGCATTGACCTTGAGTTTTGGAGTTGTAATTCACCGATATCCAGAGTGCACTGTGGACTCAAGCAATGGTGGATCTGGACCAAACTCAATATGCCCACATGTGAACACTAGTGGAGTTTGGAGAAAATAGACCTTGACATTTAGTAATTGTAGTTGCTGCGATTTATAGCTCATCCACAATCAAAGAGCATTCTGAACCCCACGAATGATAGAATTGGGTCAAACTTCCTACACAGAACCCCCATGACCAACAGAAAATACTGTGTTTTCTGATGGTCTTTGTCAACCCTTCTGACACTCCCTCGCAACTCCCTCAGAGGTCTCGACCCCCAGGTTGTGAAACGCTGGCCTATCTGATATGGGGGCCATATCAGCAGCACTGTGGCCATCAACATAGGCTCTAAATCAAAATTTTAATTCCAACTAGAAGTTACCACTAAATCAATGTAATTTACATAAAGGCTGATTTATCAAGTCCCTGTTGTTTTATTGGTTCAAACTCTAATTTAGACAAACAACTGAATTTAGCCCACCATGGTACGTGTAACTGAAATAACTACATGTTCTTTCCCTGCCTGTATTTTCATTGGCATACTTTGTTGTTTCGCCTGTGCTCATTTTCATATGGCAAATCCTGTCAAACCTGTTTTACACAAAGTGCCATAATGGAAACAATAATTATAACAACAAGAAGAAACAGATGATGGTGGTATAAAACAGTGAATTTCTGTGCATTGCTGTATAAGCTGCATTAAAAAATCTGAATTTCCCTGAAAAATTTAACATCCTGAAACATTTATAGTTTGCACAGTACTAGCCCAAGCAAAACAACAGCAAAGCTAATGGCAAGATTTCTCTTGACTTCCATAAAGAAAGGCCCCATGCTTTGTATAAACAAACAAGTTAAGTGTTGCATGTGAAACTCACTTAGTTCAGAGATGCTTCCAACACAAGTTGCCAGGAGAGATTGTTCTAAAGTTCGAAGTTCCAGCTGAGCGTAAGCATCTGCTCTTCCATTGCTGCATATGGATCCATCATTATAAGGACTGAAGTACGCTGGCAGAGAAAGCACTCCTACATAGAGACAAAGAAGAGAAAAGAGGTCTGTTAAAAAGGACAAGGACAAATAAACAACAAATATCAGACATGCTTAAAGGATAAAAAAAAGTGCATGATGTTGTCTCATCTGAAGCTGGCTCATATTCATGTCTATCTCTCCCACACATTTGCTTCTGGAGTAGTAGATCTGTTACAACTGAAAAAGAAGACATTGAGTTGGATGGTTTTACACCTGGATCAATAATCTTTCATGGGTTAAAAGTATACTGTAGGATTTATTATCACTTCTAGTCCAATTACACTTCTAGTATAAAAAAACCCACATAGCCATCAAGGTTCCCATGTGCATATACCATTATGCAGACAAACTGCATTCTAAGAGAAGAATACAATGTGATAGAAGAGAGGTCACCGTCCATGAAAGGTGGAGCACTTTGCACTACTTTGCACTACTATGCTGTTGTATGTAATGGGACTTGAGCATCTATGGATTTTGGCTTCCATTGGGGTTCCCAAAACCAAACCCCAGCAATATCAAAACACCATTTTGTGTAATGTAGATCGGTTGAGAAGGTGAGAAAACTGAACACTGGGAGCAATTGATGGTGAAGTTATGAAGAGATTTTTTTTAAAAAGTTGGCGTGTACAATACTTTGTCAATGTTATAGAGTGAGTTATATGATTCTGTCAAGGTTAGAATATGAGGGGAAAATGAGATTTGGAGTCAATTTGGGTAAGTAAGGGTATGGATTTGCTAAAAAATAATGTTTTACTGTATATTGAAGTTCTGTTCACAAATTATTTTTTGTGTTATCCGTCTGTACCTCTGAGAATGCTACAATAGTGTTACTGGTAAGGATAAGTTCAGTTGCCCCTGATGATTCAAGCCTAGTGGTTTCTGGTGGTGGGGTTATACCAGGAATGAGCAAACTGTGGCCCTCCAGGTGCTTTGGACTTCAACTCCCACAATTCCTAACAGCCTCAGGCCCTTTCCTTTTCCCCCTCAACTGCTTAAGTGGGGCCTGAGACTGTGAGAAATTGAAGTCCAAAACACATGGAAGGCCGAAGTTTGCCCAATCCTGGGTTATATGATTAAACCCTCACACAGGACAAGGGGGTGACTTAAACATTTTGTGGCAAAGGTGGGGAAAGTCATGACCCAACAGTTCACCGAAACATTTGGATGCTGCAAATTCCTGGGTGGGAATCTCTAGATATTGTAGGACTGCAGGTTCCAGAAACCACAGGCAGCTTAATAAATGGCAGTCAACGCTGAATAAATGGCAGTCAACACCATCTGAAGACCTGCAAGATTTTTTTACTTCAGTCTGAGAAGTAACAAAAACAAAACCTGACACCAAGTGATGTGGTTACATGATCCTCTTTTACACAAGCATTTTCCAACTTTGCCACTGAATTGTATTTAATGCATAAAGCTTATGGCTCTTTTTGCATTGGAAACCCTAATCTTTATGGTTTTACCACCAAAAGAATAGTAATGCCAGAAACATATCATATATTGTACATAAATTTGTGGTCTAGACTTAGAGGATTTTGTTGGCCAAAATCCAGCATGGAATTAAATGCATTTGGGGTTGTATATTGTGTTAGATTATAAATATTAACTTTGCAATATTTTTCATATAAGTGTATGTCATTGATGCTTATCTTATATTTTATGTCATGCTAAAGAGGTCTCAAAATTATGGTCATGAATGTATAAAATTAATAAATATCAATTAACAGAACAACATCTGTCCCCACAGTTTAGTTTGTCCATTCTTGTGGTTGAGATAGAACTGAGCAAAAAAAATAATAATTCGGGAATCTTGCAAAGCCTTTGAAATAGCAAAGGGAGGAATATATGTTTATTCTGTCTCATTTAATACAGGAAACCTATTTACGGCCCCTTTCTGGCAGTTCTGTTAAAAGATTGGCACCACAGGGTGGAGTTCCAGTAAGCCATTTCTTCAAAAATAAAATTTCGCCAGCTCAAAAGATAGGGTTTTTTAAAAAAATCTTGTCTATAACATGATACATTTTTAAACAACCAAAATGTTTCCAGTTTCTCAGCCAAAATCAATTTAGCAGAAGTGAAGGCATGGAGTCCCCCTTTTCATTGCATTTAAGGATATAGAAAGTTGTTTCAGGCAAACTACTTTGCAAAAGCAAGCAAATCCTTTGGAATCTCATCCAACAAAAGCAGGCCCACATTTCCCATTATGGAGCTCCCAGTGTAACCCCTGGTGACGCAATGGGTTAAATCCTTGTGGTAGCAAGGCTGCTGACCAAAAGATTGACAGTTCAAATTCGGGAGCAGGGTGAGCTCCCATCTGTCAACTTCAGCTTATCATGTGGGGACATGAGAGAAGCCTCCTACAGGATGGTAAAACATTTGTGCATCCCCTGGGCAACGTCCTTGCAGACAGCCAATTCTCTCACACCAGAAGCGACTTGCAGTTTCTCAAAAAACGGAAAAAAAGTCCAACTGAAGCATTTGCAGTGTGCATAGGGATTTGTTCATTTTTTTTCAAACTATAGTCTGGTTTGAGGGATTGTGAACAAGCCCTCTGCTTTAAAAGTCTGATGATCCCTGTTTTAAACTATCTCAGTTTGTAAGGGGCAGTCTCAGTTCATCATCTGCTGTCCAACCTTTTCAGCTGCTTTCAAAGTGTCCCATTTTCTCTCTTTCCTCCCACTTTCTCCCATGTCCTCAGGTTACTTAAATTGCTGAGTTCAAAGGGAAAAAATAGTATTTAATTAACGCAGCAAATATGTTTGTAGGACAATGTAGGAGAGGAAGGGACAGAAATCTGCCCATCTCCGCTCAGGCAAAAGCAAACTACCACAGCCTCTTCTAATTTGTGTGTCCATCTTCATACTACCTTTTTTTTATGTTAACCACATTTTGATGTTGGTTGGCAACATATTTTTCTTATGTTAAACACTAGAGGATATAATTCTGCATGTGTGAATGTGTCCTCTGGTGTGGTAGAACTCCACCTCCCATTATACCTAGTCAAAATGGTTAATGATTGGAGTTGAGGACATCTAGATCTTACTGGACCACAGAATCTCTATTGTTGTGTGTAAATTAACTTTTAACTAGTAAATATAATCTTTGATTATAATTAGAAAGTCCAGATAAAAACCTGTATATATATTTATGTATCTTAGTCATGTAAATCCTGCTTTTTTCTCAATAATGATACTCATGCTAGTGATGTATTTAAAATATTTAATATCGATGGGTTGCTGTGAGTTTTTCGGGCAGTATGGCCACGTTCTAGTAGCATTCTCTTCTAACATTTTGCCTGCATCTGTGGCTGGCTTTGCTAAGACACAGATAACAAAGAAGAAAAGACAACAGACAAGTAGACAAAGATCACTGTTACAGCAAATTGCCAACCTTTTAAGAGACTTTTGCCAGTTAGATCAGGAAGAGTTGGGATTTGAACCTTGCTATTGTTTTATTAAAGTCTTAATCAACTGTTCCTCTGAGAATATCAACTCTGTTCCCAGTAAGATCACCTCCATGCAAACAGCTTGCGGGGGAAGAACAAGAAGGATATTTCAAGGTGAAGGAATATCTGCGTAGGCTGTATAATAATTATGTGACCTTAACAACAGAAACCAATTTGCCACATTAATCCTTTAAAATTCCATCAGTTTTGGTAGCCTTCTAAACAATTACATATTAAAAAGGTTGTGATGGAGCCACTCAAGAATGGGAAATAGCAAGCAAGAAAATCTGAGAAGTTAAGTTTGGGAGACTGTCATTATAGATTTTTACAAGAGTCCGAGTTAAAATACAAAGATCCGGCTCTGTTAGAAATGCAGAAATACTATGCTCTAAGGAGCAATGATTGTTGATCTCCACAGGGCACAGGTCAGGGGAATGCAAAGAAGTAAGGGTGTTCTGTGCTGCTCATTAAACAGGTTTTTAAAACCCCAATAAATTTATTTTTCCCACATATTTTCCCTCTGGACAGGAAAAAGAAACACCATGTAGAGAGAACCAATAGTCAGTTTCAGGAAATTAAAACTGAAAGAAAAACATCTGAGAAAAGGGTGATATTAGGAAAGCGCTGGAAGGTGTGCAGCATGTACTCTTTTTCAATAAAAATTAGAAATCACGCACACACATATGCAAGAGTGTAAACCCTGAGTGAAAAAAGTCAAAAATGTTCTCATCTTTGTCAATGGAAAAAAATGTTTAAATCATATGTTTAGTTATTAATCTGCACAGATTTAAATTAATGATCACTATAGATTTAACTATGGATGATTCATTATAAATGTAAATTAACTTTATCTACAGATAATAATTTAAGCTCCAATTAAAAGGCAAACTTCCAGAATGAAATAGCAATGTCAATCAAGAAGTTCTTACAGTATTTGATAGTGTAGTGGCGAGATTTCAAAACTACTGAGGCCACGTAATACTTTTAATGCTATTTCAAACATTGCAGCCTAAAACCAATTGCTAATTCCATCTCCCTTAAATGAAATGAATCAATGGAACATGAGAATCCTGTTTCAAGATTTGAAAGGGTGTCCCATTGAGGAGGAGAGGAAAACTGACTTTTTGCTGCTCTAGAGCCCAGGGTGCAAGGGAGCAATGGTTTCAAATGGTAGGGAAAGAGATTTGACTGAAAAGATTAGGAGAAAATGCCTGAGAGTAAGAGCTGTTGGAGAGTGGCACAGGCTGCCTCGGAGTGGGGTGGAGTCTCCTTCTCTGGAGGCTTTTCCACAGATGCTGTTTATCGGGAGTGCTTTGATTGTGCCTTCCTATAAGAGACCTTGGGTGTCTCTTATAGTTCTAGGATTCTATATCAGGAGTAGGCAGTACGAGGTCTAATGGATACCCCTTTTCTCTCCTGTCCACTATCTCACACTCACCAAGGACAACCCTTTTGGGATTTAAATGTTTTCTGTTTTTCCTTCACTTTCTGCCTACAAAAGAGAAGAAGGAGAGGAAAGTGCAGAGAGGTGGCTTGGGGAGAACCCCTCCC